GATTCAAGTTTGTTCAAATCATGACCCCCGGGGCTAGGGTGGGGCCAAAATGGCTGACCCAAGTTTTACATAGGGATATATAGGGAAACCTTTTAAAATCTTCTTTACAAGTACTTCAAAGCTATGATTAGTGATATTTATATGGAATCATCCTCAGGTAGTGTAGATTCTAGTTTGTTCAAATGATGAACGCCTGGAGGGGGGGGGGAGTAAATTCAAGCCTGATGTGCTCAGGTGAGCGCTGTGGCCCCTGGGCCTCTTGTTTTTGCTTGTCAACTTTTTTCAGGTAAGTACAAAAAATTATCTGCTCTGCCCCTTTCAAAAACGATGCTACGTGGCTGCATCTTGAGAAGTTTAATAAAGTTAGTTTACATTTTGTTTATGCTAAAACTGCTATAAGTACACGCTTTTTTTCTTTACACTTTGCATTAATTTAGTGTTTTGTTTTGTCGAGGACCTGCATCGTGTCGTGCAGCATAGTCTGCAGAAGTCCTCGGCATTGTCACGTGACAAAGATCCAGGACATCTGGCTGCAGATCTAAATTTTTCATTTTGATGACAATTTGGTATACATTTTTAACATTTACCACTGACTTTTATATGTATGAATGAATTTGAATCCCGGATGCATTAAATAGTCTATTTATCCTGCAGTGTGAAAATATACTTACTCTTTCAGCTTTGAACATCTTTATCTTGAGCTTTTTCTGAAAATTATTAAACATGTTAAAAGTTTTATAATAATTTTGAGGAACATCTCGAATGATTTTTGACAACCCTGCAACGCCGAATATTCATTTTCATGAAATGCCTATAACAAGCTGTACATGGCGGGGTTTCAGTTATTTGGTACCATGGCCTGTTCACCAGAATATACTATGTTAAATAGTCATACATCTCATTAAAGGAGAAAAATCGACTAACTCTTGGATCATTAGCTTTTTTGATTGGCTTCAATGGCAACATTCGTTAGCCAAAGAGCATTCTGTCCAAGAACCCAGTCAATAAACGTGTGATGATACCCTCCATGAAATTCTTGCCCTGTCGTCCATGTTTGTGAGGCTCCCTTGCAGCTTCCAGATTTTGATGTAGATTGCATTTACCCGCAATGCGCATTTAATTAACTCGTTCAATTCCGTAACTGTCGAGAAACAACGAAATAAATGAGGCATACCCTAGTACGATGTTCTTTTCAAAGTCTGTATATAGATTTATTTTGAAAGGGGGGGGGTTGTAATAACTTCCATGAAAAATATCTGACCCCCGCCCAAAATACTATTAGTTATCCAGGTTCAATCAAGGGTGTACGGGGATTTACCCCGGGTTGTATTCCATACACCCTGAGGCCGTAGGTTCAATCCAGGGTGTACGGGGATTTACCCCGGGTTTTATTCCATACACCCTGAGGCCGTAGGCCGAAGGGTGTATGGAATACAACCCCGGGTAAATCCCCGTACACCCTTGATTGAACCTGGATAACGAATTTATTTCCTTTGTACCCATAAAAATGCTCTGTAAACATCAAAGTGTGTCTCAATCTATGGATTAGATACTGAGTAACTACTGTATGCATTGTGACGTCACGTTTTATTTACACCCGGCTCAAGTAGGGTGCATGGATATTTACACCCGACTTTGTAACCAATCAAAGCTCGTGTTACAAGCTTGATAGGAAATAATATTAGTTATCCAGGTTCAATCAAGGGTGTACGGGGATTTACCCCGGGTTGTATTCCATACATGGAATACAACCCGGGGTAAATCCCCGTACACCCTTGATTGAACCTGGATAACGAATTTATTTCCTTTGTACCCATAACAATGCTTTAGAGTGTGTCTCAACATATCGATTTGCTTTGTATTATAGAAAAACTATGCATTGTGACGTCACGTTTTATTTACACCCGGCTCAAGTCGGGTGCACGGATATTTACACCCGACTTTGTAACCAATCAAAGCTCGTGTTACAAGCTATATAGGAAATAAGTTATTTTATTATTAAAATATAGCGTCATAATATTATTTACGCTAGACTTTAGAGAAACGTGTACCACGCTAGAAGGTGCTTGCGGGGAAATGGTAAATTTCTTTTTCTATGACGTGAACATTTATTGTATGTTGCATAATAGTCAAGTAAGTTGTAAAGAGCTAAAGCTTAGAACGTTGACAACTCTAAACTTGATATATCTTAAAACCTTGACTACTCTGAACTGACTTTATTTTAGAACCTTGACTACTCTGAACTGACTTTATCCAAGAACCTTGACTACTCTGGTTTGACTATATCTCAGACAACCTTAATTGACTACTCTGAACTTACTTTATCTAAGAACCTTGACTACTCTATACTGACTATATCTCAGACAACCTTGACTACTCCGAACTGACTTTATCTTAGAACCTTGACTACTCTGTATTGACTATATCTAAGAACCTTGACTACTCTGAACTGACTTTATCATAGAAAATTGACTGCTCTGGTTTGACTATATCTAAGAACCTTGACTACTCTCTACTGACTTTATCTTAGAACCTTGACTACTCTGTACTACTATATCTAAGAACCTTGACTACTCTGAACTGACTTTATCTTAAAACCTTGACTACTCTGTATTGACTATATCTTAAAACCTTAACTACTCTGTATTGAACAAATCTATGAACCTTAACTAATCTGTACTGACTTTAAGAACCTTGACCACTTGATTGGTACTGGCTAAATCTCAAAACCATGACTACTCTGCATTTGCTATGTCAAATAATCTTGACTATTCTGACCTGTCTATGAGTATATCTAACAAGAGGCCCATGGGCCACATCGCTCACCTGAGAAGCTTTGACCATGGACCATTATGGAGAGGGCTTATATAGGCTATGCCTGCTGCCCAATCCAATTATTTATTTTACATAATAAAATATGTTCAAATAAAATCAAGCTTTGACCATGCTGTTCTTTACCAGATTTCCCCCTTATAATACAATTGTGACCCCACCCTACCCCACTGACCATAATTTGGACAATTTAAAAACTACACTGTTCCATGAAGCTTCTACATAAGTTTTAGCTTTTCTGGCTCAGTGGTTCTTGAAAAGAATATTTTCAAATATTTTTTCATATATATTTCTATGTAAAACTTTGATTTCCCATTGTGGCCCCGCCCTACCCCCGGGGGTCATGATTTGAACAATTTAGAATCTACACTACACCAGGATGCTTCCACATAAGTTTCAGCTTTTCTCGCCCAGTGGTTCTTCAGAAGAAGATTTTCAAAAAATTTTCCTGTATATATTTCTATGTAAAACTTTGATTCCTCATTGTGGCCCCGCCCTATCCTCGGAGGTCATGATTTGAACAATTTAAAATCTACACTATCCCAGGATGCTTCCACATAAGTTTCAGCTTTTCTGGCCCAGTGGTTCTTGAGAAGAAGATTTTTTAATGACCCCACCCTGTTTTTGTCTTTTCTTGATTATCTCCCCATGTGAGGGGACTAGGCCCTTCATTTTAATAATTTAAATTCCCCTTTACCCAAAAATGCTTTGTACCAAGTTTGGTCAAAATTGGCCCTGTGGTTCTTGAGAAGAAGTCGAAAATGTGAAAAGTTTACAGACAGACGGACAGCTCGACAGACGGATGGACGGACGGACAAAATGTGATCAGAAAAGCTCACTTGAGCCTTCGGCTCAGGTGAGCTAAAAACCTTGAATACTCTGTACTGACTAAACCTAAGAACCTAGACTACTCTGTTCTAGCTATATCTAGGAACCGTGACTTCTCCATACTGGGTTTATCTAAGAACATTGACTTCTCTCTATATCTAAGAACCTTGATTTCTCTATACTGATTTAGATTATATCTATAAACCTAATTAGAACATAGACTACTTTTTACAACTTATAAAATAAGAACCTTGACCACTCTGAACAGGCTTTAGCTAAAAAAAATTCTGACTACTTTGCATCAACAATAGTGGGAAACATGGGATAATTTGCATAACGGGCAAAGCCCGTTATGCTTAAATTATCCCATGTTTCCCACTATTGTTGATGTCCCTGACATACCCTCCTAACTAGACAGTGATTCCTTATATTTCCATTTCATTGTGAAATAAAATTGTAGATTTAGACTTTAAAAATGTAGATAAATAGATTTAAATCACATGATGACTTCCATGCCAATTTCAATAGTCCTCGCCAACCGACATCAAACACAAAGGCAGCCACACGAGATTTACATGCATTTTTGGCCTCCTTAGCATCAGACACAGAGACAGATGCGCACGAGAATTGCATGTGTATTAGGCCTCCTTAGCTCCCGACCTATCGACCTGCCTAATTTACATTCCGGCAGAATTATCTAGAAATAAACTACCCCTAACTTTCAAAGAGTTATCACAGAGAAAGCTAGAGGTACTGTGAGCAATGAGCTCACTAAATGATACCCCCTGCCTCCCATATGAATATAATGGCAGTGTCCATGTTTTGCTCTGGAAAATCAAAAATATATGTCAGATCAAAAAGTAAAATAGGAGGTGCACAATGGCAATATGTAATTAAGAATCTGTGAACGTTTCATTAAATTTCCTTCAGTGGTATGAGAGGAGTTGCATATAAGAGATGGGTACCCCAAAGCGTAACAGACGGACGGACGGACGTACAGACGGATGGACGGAAATACCAATTACTATATACCCTCCCACTTTTCAAGTGGGGGGTATAAAAATTAGAAATGGAAATATTTTGAATTGGCTAAATCTAAGAACATTGACTACTTTGAACTGGCTATATCTAAAAACCTTGATTAGTTTGTACTGACTAAATCCAAGAACCTACACTACTCTTAACTAGTTATATCTAAGAACCTTGACTTCTCTATACAGTGTACTAGGTACGGTACTTGTTATATCTATAAACCTAAGAACATAGAATACTCTTTACTACATGTACTTATAAGAACCTTGACTGCTAGGAACTGGCTATACCTAAGAACCTTGACTTTTCTGAACCAATTATATCTAAGACTACTATGTAATGATGTGTTAACTATGGGGATTGCTTAAGATACAAACAAGTGTTAACTGATAAAATACATTGTACCAGCAAATCTTCTTAAATGTGACATTAATGCAATGCTATAAAGAGATAGGTGAAAATAAAAATTTTATAAATCAACTGATATAAAGTTCTTTACAAGTGTCTTTTGTTTTACTCTTATTTTTTATTATTCTCATTCCAAAAACAAACAAATACAGAGAGAATCAGATAAAAATATGTTTTTTATGTCCAAGGACTGAATGCAACATCAAATTTAAAAAAAAAAAAATGACGTTCATGAAAAACCATGCCCTCTTTAGTGTAAACAACACTATGCCAGACTGTCTTTTACCAGTACTTAGTTTAAATAAAAATATATACATGTATATGCATCAAACAGAAAAAACTGCACACTACTTCAGAGGATCAGTTATCATGAGATTATAAAGTATTGTATATCTGTCATAGAAAAACATTATGTCAAAGTGTCTGGTATAAAAATTTTGTTTTGTAAACTTAACAAGTTTTTTAAAAAAGATGCACGGTACATTTGATAAATTTTACAGAATTTGCTATTGAAAATAAGTGTGGTATAAGAACTGTTTGTTGATAATGTTCCTAGTACAGGCATGGATTGGCTTGGGTTTGGTGTTATTTCGAGGGGTCACAATCTCTGCCCTCATCGGTGACTTCCGCATGTCGATCTGTATCATCTGAGAAAACACATCCTTCTTTTTCTGGTCGGCAGAGAGAAGTAATATTCTGCCCCTGTAGTGTGTGAATCCTAAAATTGGTAAATATGAAGGTGACAATTTGGTCAATGACACAAACTTGCATTTAAAGTCATCCTCTCTTCTCTCAATATCAAACTTGATAATTTCACCTTTGGCATTTATTATAAAGTTCAAATGTCCAAAGGATGACACAGCCACAGGCTGTTCCAAATCCAGTTGACCTATGACCTTGCATTCTCTTGTCCGGATTTCAAACACCTGAATGTCTCTGACATATTTTCCATTTTGATTGATTCCTCCAAAAATGAAAATTCTTTCTCCTATAACTGTGGAAGATGCAGAGTGAACAGGGCACATCAGTTCTCCTAATGCTCTCCATTTTTTCCCTCGGATACTATATTCATCTACGGAACTTAGGACATTCTTCCCCTCCTTTGCTTTAGGATTTTTACCTCCAACGATGTAGATTGACTCTCTCACAGCTGCCATCACATGACATGTACGTCCTCTCTTCATCAAGGCTTCGCACAAGTTCCATTCATTTCTCTCTGAATCGTAATGAAGCAAGTTTTTGGAATTGTTTGTTCCCCCCGACAAGTAAATATCACTCCTATAGGTGACCATCTGGAAGTTCACACCTGGGTTTTTGTCCAGTGGTATTGGAGCTAGGGTGTACCAGCGATTCTGGTGAAAACTGAAGGCCCATAGACACTTACCATCCTGGTAGAATGATCCAGACCTCTCCATATCATATTCTGTAATCACCATAGTAACTTCCTCAAATTCATCACTGTTGCGTAAGTGAAATCTGGTTGAGCAGTACTCTTGCTGTCGAGCCGGTAGCATGTGGTAATCTCGAGCTTCATCAAGGAAACGACTACAGTTTTGATCCTCTGTCAACAAGTTTTCCCTGTACAATTCACTCAGTAAATACTCGGGACTGATGTTTATTAATCTCACATGCCGAAAAAGTTTGTCAATGTTATCTTCTCTGTTACGCTTGTCCGCTTTAACCCAGCGCAAGACGGCCTCACAAATTTGTTCTTCATCCACAGGAACCAAATCGTCATCTTTAACAATACTCAGAACATCGTCAATATCCAGCTCATCAAATTCTTTTGTCTTCCATAGTCCATTGAAGCCCTCCATCACATATGGACGACATTTTTCTAAGAGTATATTGCAGCCAAACTGCCGAGCAAGTTTAAAAATTTCAAGGCAATTTTCAGTGTCCATTTCCTTTCCAAGAAATTCCTCACATGACTCTTGCAGAGCCTGCACCTATATTCCAAAGAATGAAAATGATGTAGCATTATCATTAAATTTCATTCATATGTAAAACCAGCAGACTTAATAATACTACATATCATTATTCATGAATTTTTTTTTTTACAATTTATGTGTTTATTTTTCAAAATCATGAGTATTTAAAGACAGAAATCATTGTTCTTTTTCAACTGAATATTGTAGACTATTTTTAAAGAAATTTATACTTTTTTCTGTTTTGTTTGATTTTTTTTATTTTTTTCTTCAAATTATCATTATTGGGTTTAAAAAGTTTCTGCATAAACCAAATTATAGTTTAAGTGAACACATGCTATGAGCATTTTGATAGTGTACTTGGAATAATGCAGCTGCTCTGAGGAGTTCCACTACATTGTCCCTGGTGATGTCCTCTTGTCCTGTGTAGATATAAGTCCTGAACGCCTCAAAGGTAGCCTTTTCTATGTCAGGTAACTCGAGTCTATTACTTGTAGACTCCAGCATTCCAGAGTTAAACATGGACTTGAAATATGGGGAACCTTAAAAACAAAATGACTATGACTTAGTGTTGAAATGTTATTAAAAACCATGCCAAATTTACCTCATATGACAAAATAAGTGGATCTCCTTTATCTTTATAACAAGGCAAAGATTTTATTAAGAAGCAACATAAATTTCTTTTAAAGGGAACTAACAAACAAGTGTAAATACTGTGAAGTAACATATTTTTGTGAGGAAAACCCATGAGTTCCTGGGGATTTTATTTCATGGATGAAGAACTGAAAGTAAACCCCACAAAAATTGATGATTTCACAGTAGTTATTGTATAAATACCTGCTGCAAGTAGAAGTTTGTGACAGGGGAAGCTCTGGCCCTGTACGATGATCTCTACATCTGAGTTTTCCCCTCCCATCCCCATCTCCATGATGCCACTCATCATGCTCTCCAGATACCGCTGTCGAGCACTGTCAGACATACTATTAAGGAAGCTCTGCCCCATGATTGACTTGCTGCTCTTATTAGGAGGCTCAGACTTTGCCATATTGTTTTCACTCGGTTATGTCACCATCAACCTTTAATAATTCAAAAACATTAATAATACAATCTTTAGGAGTATTCCTAATCATCTTTACATTATCACTAAAGGCCTAAATGCCACATTTCAAAAAAAAAAAAAATAATGCAATGTATACAAGTAAAAATATTTGTTATAAAAATAAATTTATTTTCTAAAAAGTACCATTACTGGGGTTATTTTTACATTGCTTTGAGGTATTTTAGGTCATTAATGTGCTACTGGAATCATAAAAATATGCACAATTAATTGTCAAATCTGTCAAATACCAACACTGCAATTCAGCTGTAAGGAAATATTTTAATTGCTTTAGTATGGTCTTTTAGAGGCAAAATATAATTGAGAGATTTTCTCACTATTTTGAAACATTTATTAACCTTCCTTCCATATAAAATCACAAATAAGGTGAATATATATACCTAATATATATAGATAGCAAGGTGCCTCTGAATAAATTTAAATTCGGGACCTCTGGCATACATGCAAGTTCATCTCTGCCATTTGAGTTAATCAACAAGCCAAAGATAATATGATACATGTACCATGTATCATACACCAAAATATTGCCCTTATAGAGAAAGAGATGTCTTCCTCCCGTTCGAGTGCCAGTGCATTTGGCGCAAATTCTAAGGGGCAATCATTTTCTTCTACTGAAAATACCAGAAGTTGGGCATGTGATGTAACAGAGAAATGCTCAGCTGGTTATCTCTAAATGAAATTGAACCAATGACAACGCTAGTCCAGGGTCTTACCGATTGAGTTAAACTACATGTAGTTAAACATGTTAAAGTAGAATGTTGTTCTTAGTAACATCTGTATGAACATTGATTAATTACATATGCAAAATAATCAATTGACAAATGATAAAAACAGACTTCACCCGATTTAAAAAATAGTGTTTGTTATACAGTATCAGCATCTACTATTTTTAATTGAATAGCTTTAAGTTTATTGGCAAATGCCCATGTCAAGTGTTGATTGATTTCGGTTTACTTCCTTGTTGTAATTTGGCTTCTTTCACAGTTGATTTATTTGTCAATTTTGAGTATGTATTATACTTTCTTTTATATACTGCAGTAAAATTAAATTTTTAATGCCTAGAATACCGACATAAATTGAAAAAGTACCTGTCATTCTGCGATCTTTCGAAAATGAAAGTAGACTTTTGTTTTGTTTTTTTAAAATTAGTTTGTTCTACAAGGATTCGTTTCCACGATTTTTGCAAACAAAGATTGCGTTTATGATGTTTATGTTATGATGTATTTAAAATCATTTAGTTTAAAAATATTTATTAAATTCCATTTTATTCTGATAATTCATCAAAATAACAGTGATTACAGGCTGATCATTTATTTCGAAACGGTAATGGTACAACTCTCTAAAGTTGCTAACGACTACTACGTTACCGCACGTTTCAAGTGACGTTACTGGTGTAAAGTTAGGTACAGTGTACATTACTGACGTAGGCCTACAGGTATGAACAACTTACCTTGTTTACCTTTTTTTATCACAACATTATACATATTAGATGTTTTCATAGGCATTCCAGTTTAATTTTGTAAACATACAGTTTATATCTTACAGTTTACATGACAATAAAAAAAAATCCTATGCTGAGAATAGACCCTTTTCCTATTACATATTTTGTTTTAGCTGCAAAACTGTACCTCTCAAAAAAATATTTTGACAGACCGGAGAGCTACAGTGCCACCTTGAACGAAAAAAACTGTTATTTATTGCGCACAAATAAGTGCTGTTTCTCGGTTTATTTCTCCATGTTTTTCAGATTGTCATCTCAAAATCTTACTAACCGTGCGATCCTACCATATTCTTTTACTGTTTGCACAACAAAGCATTTCTTATTAAGGTTGTCAATAGCCCTCCTGGCCCTGAAATTGAGATGATTGAAAATTTCGGATATTTATACTTCCATTTTTGTTTGCAAGATAAGTCGGTCTAATGCACTTCGTGCACATGTCCACTACAAGAGTACTTGACAGAAAAGTTAGGAAATTTTTTTGAAATTTAGCTTTTTGCAATTGAGGTAAGAATTTGAAAGAATTAATTACTGGAGACATAGTTTTTTCCATGGGGTCATAATTCCGTGGAATCTCAATTTCTGTTTAATCCGCGGGTACAGAATTACCCGAGTTTCTTAGACTGTCACTTTGTGCCTTACATTTATTTTAAGTATGCCTGGACAAATTTCCTTGGAATATTTGTGACCGTGTACATGGCGTAAATTATTAAGCCACACGAAAAAAAGTACTTCTACAGTATTCCAGAACCGAGGGAAAATTTTTGTTCGCAATAATTATACATGCAGTTTTTTCAATGGGTGGCACTGTAGCTCTCCTGTCTGTCAATATATTTTTCCAGAGAGCTATAGGAGTTATTCCCCTTAGCCACCATATTTTAGGGTAACATATCCAGATCCCTTCATTATTCAACCAAGTTCAATTTATTAAACTGTTTACTGAGGTAAAGGTAACACTTTTTTTCTTATGAATATGTTTGTCTAAGCCTCTATTAATTCCTCATTTTAAGATTGTAAATATTTCCCCCCATATATTTCTTGCCATCGTGGGAAACCCACGGGTGATCTCGTTTTTACTTATCACCCATGGGCAAACTCATCAAAAAATCTTGGTATGAAATTAAATATGCGTGGTTCATTTGATTGGCTGCTTCACAGAGTCGCGATGCCAAACAACGAGTTACAGTTCACGTTGCGTATGCATGTACAACATATAAAACTCATTCTGTAGTTAACACAGAAAATAAATCCACTCAACGGTGCATATTGCTGTTAAAAAGAGGTACTCCTGTTTTAAATAATATCTGTCAGTGACTTGTACGAACTGACTTTCATTGTTCTGAATCAAACTTTGCACATTTTAACGAGCTTCAAAATATCTACCATAAATAGCAAAGTAATAAACGTATATTTAAAATTGAAGAGTTCCAACTTTCTGATTGCCCGTACGAAAGTTCGAGGCGGAATAGGCACAGCTTGGGCACAGCTAAGACACAGAATCCGCACGGGTTTTTAAAAAGCCGCACGGGTTTTGCATGTCCAAGACACGGACACGGCTTCCGTGTCTAAAAGTGAGGAATCCTCACTCACAGAAACCCGTGTGGAGGCACGGAATCTGTGTCCCAGGGAGATGGTTTTTAACTCAGGTGGGTTTTGCTTCAAACTATTTATTTGTATCTCACGGCGTTTTACTGAGCATGCTCAATCATAACTCCCTTTATTTGAATATTAAATTGGAGGGATTCATGGTCATGAGCTAAGTCAATGTGTCTTTTTGCTCTATTCAAAGGATATTTAACTAATAGATGTCAGTTGGAATTGTATTTATGTCAGTCTGGGATAATTTCTTCACTTTTGAACTAAATGCAGTAAGTGTAATCTAGTCTAAGAAGAATAAATAAGTCAATTTTTCAATTTTCAATCATGATCTTCCTGTATTGCGATGTTGACAATGAACGTGATGAAATAGTTTAGGTTTATTTGAATGACTTTAGTTGGACTTTCACTAATCCTTTATAGTAAATATTTTATGTGACATCACTGTGCTAGTGAAAGTTTTATTTAAACTAAATTCTTTCTCAGATTGTGCGAACTTAGCTACTAGATTAAATTACAATTGAATATTGTACATTATTATCATTAAAATCTTAATTAAAAACTAGCATGGATTGTAACTGATAAAGTTAATCTTTAACAGAAAGTAAATGCACACATTCATATAAGATTTTTAACTTTTGAAATTCTAAAACTAAGCATTAATGTAAAGCAATGTGAAGTTAGTTTGGTTTCAGTCACCATTTTGGCATCCACAGTTACATCAGGGGATTCTCTAAAGGCCATGACCTAGATCTAAACAAATGTACAGATCCCATGACTCCTTATATGGTATACGGCACGGCTTTTTTGACACAGGTTTCCAAAAAAACGTGTCTCCATATATGGAAAAGGACATGGGTTTCAGACACGGGTTTACAGAATCCGTGAGTCCATATATGGAAACTAGCACGGCTTTCTGACACGGGTTTTGTAAAAACGTGTGATCTCATTTAAATATTTCGGCCAATATCCCGTGCCGTGTCCGTGCCTTGACCACTTTTAGGCACGGCTTTCCATACATACTTTACATAGGAGCACGGAATGCTAAAGCACGGGTTTCTGGAGACAGAATCCTTGCCTGAGCTGTGTCTAAGCCGCCCGGACTGTTTAATATTTACTCTTTATGTTTGCTATTTAATATTTAGCTTATTTATTTTAAATACACAAAGAAAAACAGATCGAAGTAAGATTTTTCGGGGTGATATTTTGATATTTCTTCATATGTATCGATATATCGTCCCAGCCCTAGGGCCCACACCATTCAAAGTATCTATGACCAGTATTCAAATCCAACAATTGAAACATTCTCCCTCAACCCACCCTCCTCACCTTCCCAGAAAGGACTACTTTTTGTTTTAGTTTCATATCCAGCCTTGATAAAGTAAAACAGATATTTTATGGTATTATATTACCAATTTACCATACATTTTACATTTCTTAACAGTATTAGAAATGCCATACTTACAATTTCCCATTCTAGTCTGGGTGTTTTCTAGTTTGTTGGGATGTATTAATGCAGGCATTGTTGTTTTTATAGACTACATAGTAAAAGGAAGTATAAAATTATATCCTCCTTTTTCCTGTGTAAAACTTGTGTCATTGTACAAAACACTCAAGAATCCTTAAGCAAAGACTATAAGCTTTTTGTTTCTGATTTCTTACAGTGAGAGATTAATAATAGGCATGTATGAAATAAGCATGGCTAGTTTTTCTGTGAGCTGAATTTCAACAAAAGCAAATCAAAAATTTTCTAATCCAATCCTGTGTTGCCAGGTATATTTATATGGTTTTTGAAAAAATGTTCATAGTTCATTTGTCAGACTGACAATTGTTTTTTAAATTATAATATGTACAATATACGGCTTGATAAATTAACATTAATTTTAAAAACCTTTCACAAAATCAGCCCTCATAAGCTGAAAAATCTCACAACATATCTTTTTATAAGATTCAGTTTGTTCAGTTTGATAAATTTGATACACATCAACATTGAACAATCTTAAAAATCAAGATTTCCTTTTGGTATTCTTGAAATGGAATTTGTTGAGTGTTTCTACATTACTTATACTTCCTGCATCCTGTTTTTGTCGCTAATCTCAAGTTGCCACTTTAAAATTGTCAGAAATATCAAACTACAAGATCTCATTTGCAGAATTTAATGTAAACAAGCCAGTGCAAGCATTATTTACAATCAGATTACTCGAGGAAAAACAACAAAATATTTTAATTATTTACTGATAGAAAAGTGTTGAAGTAAAGATTAAGTTTAAGGTTCATTGACCCCCTGATAAAGGGAGATAACTCTCACTGGGTTAAATGACTTTTATTTCTTTACAAAGCTCAAATTTCTTCCTGCAAAATATACTAAAAATATTGCATTCAAGCAAAATTCATAAGGGCAAACAATAGGGCCTTAACATTGAACATTATATTGTAAATCTATTTTTTGTATAAGAGATAAATTTTTTTTAAGTATCAAAGTAATTATTTAAATAATCACTGATAATAAGTATGGTACATGTATTGCTTATCTATGATTCCCTTGTTGCAGGATAGAATAAGTTTAGGAATTGTCATATTTTTAGAGCTCAGTTTGACTGATGTTTCTTTCTTGTTACTTAAGTCTACAAGTGTCATTTTGGAGAAAGCGTCCGGCTTGTGTTCACTGCCTGTTAACACCACCATGTTTCCTCTGAAGTTTGCTATATCTATTACAGGACGCAAGGCTTTGGACAGAATATGATCTAGAAACTTTATATTCACCTTCACTTCTTCATCTTTTTTGCTTTTGATTTCTACATTATAAATTTTACAGTCTGATGATACAAGGATGTTGTCATTGCCTATTTTTAGTAACTTAAAAGGAGGAGAAATGTCCATTGGAATTTGTCCCACTGTAGAAGATTCTCTTTTTCTAGTATCGAAAACTTGAATGTCACTGGACCATGTACCATCCTGCTGAAAACCTCCAAAAATGTAAATTTTCTCTCCAATTACAAAAGAAGCCGCTGAATGAACAGCAGTTGAAATTTCTCCGATGGTTTCCCATTTTCGGCTTCTTATGTTGTAAGACTCAACAGAACTCAGTACATGATTACTGCTTCCAGCCCTTGCCTTAGGGTTTTTGCCTGCTACCACAAAGATGGACTCCCTGACCGCAGCCATGATATGCCCACTTCTCCCCCTCTTCATCTGGGTCTCACACAGTTCCCATTCATTTCTATCATTGTCAAAATGAAGCAGACTCTTTGAATTATTGGTTCCTCCAGCAAGATAGAGATCATTCCGGAAAGAAACCATTTGAAAATCGGTTCCAGGATTGTCTTTAATTGGGATTGGACAGATGGTATACCAGCGAGCCTGCTGGAAGCTGAAGGCCCAAAGACACTTGCCATCCTGATACATCTGTGCTGTTCTCTCCATGTCAAACTCTGTGGTGATCAGGATTACTTCTTCAAGGTCATCACTGTTGCGTAGATGGAACCTGGGAGAACAGTACTCCTGCTGTCTGGCGGGAAGCATATGGAAATTTCTGGCTTCATCCAGATATCTTTTACAGTCTCTATCTTCCGTTAAGAGTTCATCAGTATATAGCTCATTGATGAGGTACTCTGGACTTATCTGTATCATCCTTATGTGTTCAAAAAGTTTTCCTGTGTACTGTTTTCTGTATGCTTCATCTCCCCTTATCCATCGTAAAACTGCCTCACATATTTCTTCTTCACTCACGGGAACTAAGTCATCATCCTTAACAATGCTTTGGACTTCATCAAATTCTAAATCCACAAACTCCTGTGTTTTCCAGAGGCCATTGAATCCTTCCAAGACATATGGCTTGCATTTCTCAAAGAGAGTGTTACATCCAAATGCTCGGGAGATTTTAAACAGTTCCAAGCAATTTTCATTATCCATTCCAGTTCCTAAGAATTGCTCACAGCTCTTTTGCAGTGGCTCAACCTTAAAATATACATATTAATATAGATCTCAGTATTTCGCAGAATGAATTGCATTTAATAAGCCATTTAGACATAGAGGTTTCAATATATCAGTTTTAGGTGCGCTTAAATCTGAAATGCTGAGAAAATTTAAAAGATGTGGAAAATAAGTAGACTAGAATATTTAGATCTCACCTGAAATATGGCAGCTGCTCTTAGTAATGGTACAACATTGTCTTGGGTAATGTTTTCTATTCCTGTGTATATGTATTCCTTGAATGCAGCGAATGTTTCTTTCTCAATGTCTGGAAGCTCCAGACGACTTCCATGTTGTTCCATCATCCCTGAACTGAACATGGCTTTGAAATATGGAGAACCTGCAAGGAGAATGAACTTCAATTGATTCACATGTATCTATTAAGACACATTTATGACTTATTCACCCATACAGTTATACATTTGATTTATGTTATATGTTGTAGTGAACAGGTTTTTTAATGCCTCTTGACAACTAGGCATAAATATTTTACATGTATTTAAACTAATGTAACAATGAAAAAAGGAAAAAAGGAATTCACTGCCCACCCAATATGAAAAAAAAAATGTATTAAAAGGTTTTTACCCCCTTCAATTTTTTTTTCAATTCTGCAATTTAATAAAAACTATGGAGTTTTCAATTTAAGATCAGGGGAGGGCAAACTAATATATATTTAAAGCTGTGTTCTTTACATTGATTCTTTTGTCTAGCATTATCTGGCAAACAGCTGTCATAGGGTCACACACACCAATAATCCAAAATGAAAGTAGAATATATTTGCAAGCTCAATTAACAAAAGCATTCTTTTTTGCAAGTTTGCAATTACGTGCATAAAAGCCCTACCTGCAGACAGTAGGAGTTTATGACAGGGGAAGCTCTGGCCCTGCACAATTATCTCAATGTCCGAGTTCTGTCCCTCCATCCCCATCTCCATTATCCCTGCCATCATGCTCTCTAGGTACCTCTGTCTGGCACTATCCGACAGGTCTTTACCCCAGCTGGAGGAGAAGCTCACCCCTCCACTTGCCCCACCCTGCTCTGCCATGCTGCCGCTGCGAGACGAGGAGGACACTCTTTGTGGTAGATCTCTTTGTCCTATAGCATTAATAGTGCAGGCAGTGCCCATAATTCATGTTTAAACTTCCTTGTTTTGTGTTAGTATGTGTTACTTGTGTGACGTGTCTAATCTTGAGAATCGATTTAAATTTGACCTGACAGGACTTGTTTTGCATTGTAACTTCTTTATGTTTTTAAAATGAAATATTAAAATTTTAAAAAGATTAAAACATGCATGAAATAATTTTTCATGGTTTCAGGGAATTACATTCAATTATTTATAGGTCTACTTGAAATGAGTTCCTTCCTTGAAATATTGAATAATCGTTATTAGACAAGTTTTATAGTTAATTCCAGGAAAAGCTCTGCGGTACATGGTACTAATCAGAAATGGAAGTAAATTATATTTACATTAAAATCTCTTTTGCAAGTTTTTTTAACTGAAATAATTTTTAGATGCTAAAATTATTAAAAATATGAATCATATAGGCATACGTGATTAGGAGTATAAATTTTACATACTCTCAAAGAGCTAGAAAACATACTTTATTTAAGGAAGTTTAGTCACTTGCCATCATGAGGAAGTTTAAGAAAAATAATTTGTTCTCTTTGATATTTTCATTGAATTACAGTCAACAACATTAAAAAACAAAAATAAAATGTTGATTTTTTTTTTCGCTCATGGAATGGATTTATTTTTACACATTTTCATGTAAGAATATAAATCTATTTTGACAACAATTCAAGTAAAAAATCTACCCCTGATTAACAAACATTAGAGGCAGGTGACTTTAAGGGTATAATGTTAGAAAGTTTTCTAAATTACAAGAAAAGTTCTGTCATGAAAAATGTGTGCATGGGTTGATAGAAAATCAATAAACATGGACATTTGGTAGCATAAAATATAATTAATTTTTTAAATAAATCAGAAAAAATTCAAAAGTAATTTGTGAGGAATGATTAAAGCATTGATATGAATTACCACACACACCTGGCATCCAATAGTCCACCCCCCTAAAAAAGTAGCTACTGAAATATCTGATAATGAAGTACAGCCCTACCTGAAGTGTTTGGTTATTTTGATTGATAAAGTTTATATAAGGTACTAACTTTACAACTTATCAAGATAATCTTAATTCATATATTGGTTAAAACTTAAAGATGATAATCTAACCAGCAATTTAATCATCAATTGAATGCATACAGAAGATGTTAAATGAATTCAATTCTTATGCTGCAACTCATGCAGTTACAGAAAAACTGAGTCAGCAGCTGGTACAAACATGTGTACACCTGGTTAATTTGAAACAAAGATCTATGTACACACATATATATTATAACATTAACATGGCATTACATTTTTGACCTCATTCACAATATTGTCTCACGGCTTACAGATATAACTCTAATTTTTTATCTTATCATTTTGACCCAGCTCTAAATTGTTTTGTAGTCCTACACACCTGATAACAGAACAAGTTAATCTTTTCTCCAAAGATACTTACGATTTAGGATGTCTGGAAGTCGCCAGAAAATAGACTGAGGACGACTGAGTTGATTATGTGAGACAAAATCATCGGACTCTTCATCGTCTTGTGAGTAGCTCATCTTGAATTATTCATCAACCTCTTTATCCAGATGATCTTTTTTGTGAATAGCCTTGTAGCTTTAATATTACTGTCTGATAAAGTCAATGATATAAACCAAAGTCCAGTTCATGTGATTATCTGCATTTTATATTTTTTATGTCCTCATGAGGTTTGATAAAGCAAAAGTCAATGTACAGTTTGCTAGCTTTAGACTGAAGCATGGTAAATTATATTTTGAACTGGGAAGTAGAAATAACTTTTATCAAGCTGTACCTTTGATCTTGAAATGAAATGGGAAATTTTAGAAAATAAATTTATGCTGATTAAGATAGGAACTTTATTTTTCCCCCAAATTTGTGTACTGTGCGTATTGTGAAAATTTCACCAAAAGCACAGAACCTAGCTCTTAATTTTGAAGTGTTACACAATCCAAGTCATTGAAAAGTAAACAAGTTAAAATCATTGATACTTGACCTTTGTGAGGATATAATATATTTTTAAACAATTTTATTCTAGGAGCATGATGGTTGGTTAACCTACAGTTTATCTCATCCTTCAAGATGGCAGATAAGGATAAGAATCCAAAGAAAAGCAAAACCACTGGACCATGTCCTTTTGGAAAAGCCAACTGGCTGTCCAAATTCACTTTCTGGTACGTTCTTTGTTAACCATTGCTACTGGCATTTCTGATTCAACATTTCTACTTAAGTGACAACATATATACATAACACTGAATTTAAGGTTCATTGTCGATCTGATAAGAAAGATAACTCTTGGACAGATGACATTTATTTCCTTTATAAAGTTGTGAAGTTAAAAGGTCATATCTGGCAAATGTTCTCCTGCAAGGTATGCTGATATTGTGTGCATTTAGATTAATATGAATTTGATTTTATTGGAAACTTGTTAGTATTAAAGCAGAATTTTACATGTCAGAGTGAACAAACGGAGGTACAGTAAACCTTCTTTTGATATTACCAGGAATTCTAATACATGTACATGAAGAATGATAATACAGTGAAAACTGTCTAATCCGACACCTGTGTAATTTGTCACACTGTGAACATCGATAATAAATTTCATTCCCATTTTACTATTTTCCATGTATTGGTACACTTATCTGACACCCTGTCTATTCTAACATAAAATTCGTCTCCCGGTTCATATCGGATTAGACAGGTTTCACTGTATTTTATATAACTCTGTGTACATGTATATAGGTGGATGTTCCCAGTGTTCCGTTATGGCTTCAGACACCCACTGACACAGGATCACCTCTATGATGTTCTACCGGAGGATGAATCTGGAGTGTTAGGAGACCGCATGGAAAAGTAAGGAATACGCTACTTGGACGTACAAAGAGAGAGAGAGAGAGAGTTTCTTCTTACATTTAATATTAATATATTATGAACCTTAAAAATCATAGCCGATAATTAAAAAAAATATTTAAAAAAATATTAAAGTTTTAATGCAATATCATTCTTTATATTTATACCCCAGTAGTTGCATAAGGTATAATGTTTTTGACCTGTCTGTCAGAGTGTCAGTCAGTCAGTCAGTCCGTCAGTCCTGTTTTTTTGTCAGCACAACTCCTCTTAAACTGCTGCACAGAATTTCATCAAACTTTGCAGATATTTAGGACACAATGTGTAGATGTGCATATTACCAGGAAATTCCGATTCCTTTATTTTTCCGGGAATTTCCACACTTTTTAACTTAGATTTTTGGCCATACCTTGAATATAGAAATGAACAGTTTGTCAGCGCAACTCCTCTTAAACTGCTGCACAGAATTTCATAAAACTTTGGAGATGTTTAGGACACAATGTGTAGATGTGCATATTACCAGGAAATTCCGATTCCTTTATTTTTCCGGGAATTTCCACACTTCTCAAATTAGATTTTTGGCCATACCTTGAATAAAGAGATGAACAGTTTGTCAGCGCAACTCCTCATAAACCGCTGCACAGAATTACCGTACGTCAAACTTTGCAGATATTTAGGACACAATGTGCAGATGTGCATATTACCAGGAAATTCCGATTTCTTTATTTTTCTGGGAATTTCCACACTTTTTAACTTAGATTTTTGGCCATACCTTGAATATAGAGATGAACAGTTTGTCGGCGCAACTCCTCTTAAACTGCTGCACAGAATTTCATCAAACTTTAGGGATATTTAGGACACAATGTATAGATGTGCATATTAACAGGAAATTCTGATTCCTTCATTTTTTTGGGAATTTCCACACTTTTCAACTTAGATTTTTGGCCATATCTTGAATATAGAGATGAACAGATTGTCAGTGCGACTCCTCTAAAACTGATGCACAGAATTTCATCAAACTTAAGAGATATCTAGGACACAATGTGTAGATGTGCATATTACCAGGAAATTCCGATTCCTTTATTTTTTATGCGAATTTCCGCACTTAAAACTTATATTTTTGGCTATACCATGAATATTGAGATGAACAGTTTGTCAGTGCAACTCCTCTTAAACCGATCCGATGCACAGAATTTCATCAAACTTTGCAGATATTTAGGACACAATGTGTAGACGTGCATATAACCGGGAAATTCTGATTCCTTTATTTTTTCTGGGATTTTCAGCACTTTGAGTTTTGGGGGAGCGTGGGGTATGTGAGCTTGCTCACTTTTTCTTTCATTTTTTTAAATTTTGAAGATGACTGTTTAAAGAAACTAAATGACTTGTATAGAATTGGAAGGTGTAACCATATAGGGATCTAAATGAGGGTTTAGGAGGTCTTACACCCTCCTGAACAATTTTTTATCACTCCACTCAACCCCCACTCCCCATAAAAAATGCTAAATCTTTGGAACCCTTAAAATTCCCTGTGCATGCATAAAACAAGGCTTCCTTCTGAAGACGGTAATTTAATTCAGTTGGGAAAATAAATTTTTCACTCAAATAGAAGTTGAAGCCCCTTCCTCCCTCCCCCCCCCCCTTGTCATTGTGCAGTTATATATACCTGCATGGTAACTTTTTTAAGGAACATATTACTGTCATCCCATTATAATTTCTTTATCTTATACACTGCCTTCTTTTTCTCGTAGATCATGGGATGCCCATGTAAAGAGGTGTAGGGAGAAAAACAAGTAGAAGCCAAGTCTTTACTGGGCAGTGATTCTGGAGTTCAAATGGGAGTGGGGCATTAATGGCATATTCCTAGTCATCTCTGTGAGTCTAGTGCCATATTCCAAGCCATGTCTGCATATGGCATATTCTTAGCAATGCCTATGAGTCTATAGTGACTTATGCCTAGTAACTCTGTTATTGTAGTGTTATTGTAGTGGCTTACTCCCATACATGTTAACCTATTGTGATGAAAAAGAGGGAGATTCAGACCTCAAAAGCGGTAGCATTGCGCGCGTGTTGTTGAACGCTTGGATTATCGATATCTTTCATGTAATATACATGTATATTATAAGTCTTAAATGAAATCAGGTACCTACACTTATTAATCTTAAATATCAACAGCAAAGAAGAAGACAGAAACACCTTAAATTTGACATAAATTGTACAAATTCAAATATTTTTCATGCTCATCATTTTGCTTGGATTGGCTGCTTTACTTAGCCTTGTGAAGAGTGATCTTTGCTGATATAGCCTAGAAGCAATAATTCAAAATATTCATTCAGTTTTTAAACAAAACAAATGATAAAATGGTTTAATCTAGATCTAAAACAAGTTCCTATCTTTCGTTATATAAATCAGATTTCCCGCGATGATCGAAAACGAAAGTAGAGATGTGCCACATGGCTTGGTCAATCGAGTGATTTCTATTGACTTTATTGATAAAGTTGTGAGCTTCTGTGCTTTTAAAGACGATGTCAAATGTTTTCATCTAATTCTTAAAAGCTGTATCTCCATTCTCATGGCAGGGATGTTGATTAATTTATCGTAACCAATGTAATCACTGGTAGTTTTGTGTTGTTGTCGTTGTCAAATCCGTGCTTGAAATCTAAGTACAAAAAAAGCGTTTGTATGATTCCGAGTCAAATCACGCGATATCTAGCGAGATTTTATGAGAGTGGCTTCAAAAATGGATACCCAAGCGAACCAAAAATACTTTAGACGCAGCTTTTGTGGAAAAGCGGTAGATTTCTGCATTAAATCGGTAGGCGGGAGATGGAGTGAAAAAGCGGTAGACTCCCGCCTAAATCGGGAGAGTTAACATGTATGCTTACTCCTTATAGTGGTGATTTCTTGTAATCCCTACAAGTCTAATGTCATATTCCTAGTATTTTCTGCAAATCCAGTGGCATACTCTTTTTAATCCTTAAATAGCTTAATGAAGCATAAAAGCAGCATTAATTAATGAAAACTCCAGTCTAAAAAAATAGTGTGCCAATTCTGTGTACATGTACTGGTATAAATAGAAATAGCATTATCCCTCTCCTGCATCCTGACCCTCCTTTCTCCTGATTTTAATCCAGTGCATGTGTAGAACTTGATTAGCTAATTGCTTTTGTGTTTGCTTTTCATGTGGTGTTTCAAAGCTACATGTACATGATTTTTTTTTTTTGCCATATTAACTAAATTTTGTTATCGATCTTTTTGAAAAAGTTTATATTAAGCATTTGTTTCAAATCAGATCAGATATATTTTTTATGAAACATCCTTGATAAAGAAAGTGACTACTCAGTTTCTTGCACTAGTGTATGAACTTTATCCAAACTCCATCAAAATACATTTTTTAGGAAGCAATCCGGATTTTACAGCCCTTTCTGGCAGGTCAGATTGTGTCCTACTTCCAGCCTGGCTCCACCCTGTCTAAGATGGAGGTGTACATTTATGCTACTGTGATGGGGGTCTGCATCATGATAGAGCTTCTTAACAATCCAAAGTATTTCTTCACCTGCCACCATCTTGCTCTGAAAATGAAAGTAGCTGTGGCTAGTCTTATTTACAGAAAGGCAGGTTTGCTCTACTGATTTCAGAACCAAGTATGTCAGATTTTTTTAAAAATTTTTATTATTGTGTGAGGTGTGTGTATGTGTATGTGTTTATTCATCAAAAATTAAATATTTCAGATCTTGAAAATGAGCAGCTGGTCAAAACATGCGACAACATCAGGACAAATTATCAACCATTTATCAAC